TTTGGTGCAATTTTCCCACATTCGCTAAGCTGAGGCACGGTCCTAAACAACAAGAGGCTAGCTCAGATTAAACCAATTTCCCAAAGTGGCCGACTCAGAGAACCTTCGAGCTACTGGCCGGTGGCACTTCATTAAAAATATTCAGAAACTATGGAGCCATTCATATGACGGTCTATGTGACTACTTACTATCCAAAAGCTTCTTTTCACCCCAACAACACGTTTCCAGGAAAGGTCATCCTTGGATAACCCACCTGCTGACCTCGGTGAACAGATGGACAACCATCCCTAATAACAAGAGGAAGGTTTCTGTTATAAACTTAGACTTCTCAAAAGTTTTCAGTGGGACCAGTGATACATGTCTCATCAATAAGCTGAAAATGTTAGGTATCAAATCACCAGCAACTGATTTGCCTACATTATATCTAAATAATCAACTTTTTTGAAGTCATAGCATCACTTTTTCCTCAGGCTTCGGAGTGTCCTGGTGGGGTCCCTAGTGGTTCAGCACTAGGACCTCTTCTTTCCCTAATTTGCACAGACAGTCTTTCACGGCAGGTATCGTCCGTTTTATTACTTTTCACCGATGATAAGAAACCCAGGAGAGGAGTACGTACTTCAGGAGGATCTTATTTTGCTCAAATGTTGGGAGAGGCAACAACGGACTCAACTTTAACATATCATTGTGTAAAGTAGTCCGTCTGAGACGATTAAACGATTTGGGGCCCTCATTATAAGACTAGAATTTGAGCCCTCGAACAGATTTTTATATCCCACCGTTGGATACTTTCTGATATGTCGAATAAAATGGTTGAAGGTTAGGTGAACAGTTCTTCCATCGAGTTGGCCAAAAACTCACTTCAAAATCTCCAACGAGAGGCTCGTCTGAAGAGCATTTTTGTCGCGGTTTGTGAAAGACTTCAGATCATGGGGTGCCGACAGAAGAGTTTCTTAAGTTATATCTTGTAGGATTTATAATGTGTTGGAATAAAGCTAGTCCAATCGAGGTTTATAACAGTTTGCAATCGAACGACGTTATCGATGACCCTACTTTTAAGTTAACCCAGTTTATATATGGTGCATTAAAGTCGCCTACTACAAGGATTTTCCCCTTGACACACCAGGACTTAAGTTTACTTAGGAGAAAATCATCTGCTACACATTCTGGACTACGATATACTGCAACTAATTCGATATCTTGCCGTCTACTTATCAGCATGCATAGCACCAGTTCATATGTCCCTGAAACATGTGCCACTGTTTCAAGTGCTATTATGGTTAAGTTAATTTTCGTGCACAGGGTAATCCCGCCTCCCCTATGGTTTAATCTGTGAGCCCTACTGGATATAAAACCAGCCAACTGAATTTTATTATCTAATACTTTGAGGTTAACTAGGTTTCTGAGACAGCAATAACATCCGATTTTTCTTTATCGACCCAGTGACTTGAGCCCCTCCATTTTATTTAGTAGGCTGCGAGCATTTGTGTAGCATATCTGTAACGACCGAACAGCCAATATTCGGTTGGAACAACGGACTGACGAACCCAAAATTTATTCGATTAGACCAGACCAAGTTCCTCTGTATAGCCCACAACGCGTCTTTGAGATACTCGTATTATATTATATCAAAACACAAACTCTGTGCTCAATATAAACGGTTCTAATTAAGAAAACAGAACAAATTACATCAAAAATACAAAATACCTCAAACGGTACAGCCTGTGCTATACAGTCAGAAGTTTCTCTAACGCAAAGTAGCGCGCTGAGAATCAATACAAATATTCCCAATCAGATGGGATCAAATATCTATCTGCAGGGATTGCAGCAATTCTCCCAAGCAGACAGTCAGAAGGTTAACAGTCACAAACTGAACCACGCCGCGACCTTGAGCTTAGTCAAACACGACTTTACTGTCAATGGTCCGGCAACATGCAATAGAAAATTAGGTAAGAAAAATAAGTCTTTAATCAAAATCACATAATAAAGGCTCAAGCGGGGAAGGCTGAAGAACAAAAGACATGGTTAAACGAGATCGAAACAAAGGTTGGAATACACAAAAGGGAGAAGGAACAAATAAATGAAAATACTGTTCAACAAAGAAGCTGCAGAGGGATTTTCACTGTTCTCTTTCCGTTACACCGGCACCCAAAATCCCTCCAGCTTCGCAAAGACACCTTAGAATACATTTCTGTCATGGCTCTCCTTACTAACTGCTCTATATCAATGGGAGGCACAGGACTTACAACAGTACGCCTGTACATCCATAAACCTAAGCTACAATCTACAATTACTCGGCTCCCTCTAGAAGGCAGAGCTTTCGCACATCTCTTCTTACTACACCTTTTCTCATTCGCACCATCACTGTTCTTACCAACCCATCTCTATCTGTCTCGCACTTATCAACCCGTCCCATTGGCCATGAACCCCGAGTAGTTGCATCGTTAGCCACTAGAACTACATCACTTTCTTTTAAGTTTCTGTGTTTGCAAAACCATTTCTGCCTCACTTGCAGTAAAGGAATGTACTCTTTTATCCATCGACGCCAGAAGGTATTGGCTAAACAATTAACCTGTCTCCATCGCTTTGAATACCTATCCGCAACACTACACTCCATTCCTAAACCATCACAGTCTCTTAGTAATAACAAAGTGTTTGGCGTGAGCGCCAAATCATCCTTTTCATCTGACGTCACAGGAACGATTGGGCGGTTGTTTAAAATTCGTTCTACCTCCACAAAATAAGTTGCCAAACTATCATCGTGTAATATTTGCCCGTTGGAAATAGATAGTAAGATCCTCCGAACAGACCGTATTAATCTCTCCCAAACTCCGCCTCGATGGCTAGCTAGTGGGGGGTTGAAATGCCAGCGTATACCCTTCGATACTGTTAAGTCGTTTATTCTATGCTTGTCCCACACACTCATATTAGCCCGTAATTCGGAAGTAGCCCCGACAAAGTTAGTTCCATTGTCGCTATAGATTTCCTTAGGAGTTCCTCTCCTTCCTATGAAACGTATTAAAGCCATTATAAAAGCATCAGTACTCAAATTGAAAGCTACTTCCAAATGTACGGCACGTGTTTGGAGACACGTAAATAGGCATCCATATCTTTTTTCCTCACTTCTTCCCCGACGAACTATCAACGGCCCAAAATAGTCTATCCCGACGGAGGAGAAGCAAAACCAGCCTTGCTGCACTCGACACTTGGGGAGAGGTGCCATCATCTGTTGGCCTAATGTGGCTTTCGCGCGTATACACCTCACACATCTACCTATCACTCGTTTAACTGCACTGGTTCCTTTAACAATCCAATAATTTCATCGTATGGTAGCTAACACTTGTGATGTCCCGGTGTGACCTTCTAGGTGGTGATGGTGTCTAATAATAAGTTCTGTTACGAAGTGATGACTGGGTAAAATTACCGGATGTCTGATTGAGAGTGGATAATCCGAGTAATTTAATCGTCCGCCGACACAAAGCAATCCATCGATTAGCGTAGGTGAAAGATTTTTTAGCTCTTTTATATCAGTTGCGCTTACGCCATTGCATCGAGACACTTTTACTGCTTCCCCATACACTTCCTTTTGCACTAAGGCTAATACCTTGTGTTTAGCTGCATCCAATTCATCAACTGACAGATAGCCCACACTTAGGGACCTGTCATCGTGATGCGAGTACATGATGGTTATATAGGTCACGTATCTTCTGAGCCATGCTACCGCTTTAATCAGCTTTATCCAATTTGAGTGATATAGCAGAATTGGACTTAAGCTATGTTTTAGCGCAACTGCGTTGGTCGTGTGACATCTTTTAAATTCAACATTTTCTGGGGGGTTTTCGCACATAAGCGTTAGTGTTCCTACAGACTCCCTCTTCCTTAAGAAGGAAGGACCCTCAATCCAGTTCTTTAAATCTAGCTCCTTCCGTATGCCTCGTGATGTCCAGTCAGCAGGATTTTCATTGGATTCTACGTGCCCCCACTGGTCCACAGATGTTAAATGATGAATAGCGGCCAGACGATTAGCCACGAAGGTGGAATACCTACTATCTGTATTTTTTATATAGTACAGTACTATCATAGAATCCGTCCAGAAGTGAGTCTTGTCAAACACCTGAGGAAGGTTCCTATTTAAAACTTCCCCATTCTAGCACTCAATACTGCCGCTGCTAGTTCCAGTCTAGGCACAGTCACCTGCTTTATAGGTGCCACTCTAGACTTACTATAGAGAAAAACGATGTCCGGTGGTTTGCGTCTGAGTATGTTCCACGAATAGACAGAGGAACTGCAACCTGTCTTAGTCAGGATTTTCATCATAAAGTCGGCAAGAACTCTACCAGCAAGGTCCAATCGCAAAACAGTATAAGGCAACGCATAATCATAAATCGGAACTGTGTGGGTCACACCGTCACCTAAGTCCAATACTATACCAGTTGTACGACCAGATGTACATAGTGACAACTCCATTTGAATAGCAGCACACATACCTGGTGTATTAAAAGTTTCAAAAATGATTCTTGTCATCTCACGGTTTGCCTTCGGGTTCAATGAAACTTCTCTCAACAACACTGGATGTTTCTCTGTTGCCACTCGCAACCCTTTGTAGAATGTGTGGTACCATATCTTCTCCATATCACCCCACTTAGTCGCAATACCATGTTCAATTTGGTACTTCAGTGTCAGGATAACACGTTTCGATCGAGCATCGTCTCCCACATGACTGTCCTTTCCATCCCTCCCTACCATTACTACTTGATGTCTAGTTCTTCCATCAATAGAGGGTAATACGGCTCTGGGAGCATCATTTTTGGTGAAGCCAGCTTTACACATACCAGACTCAATGCCAATAACAGGGGCAACAATATCTTCCTCAGCCACTCCTCTAGGTAAAGGAACAATTTTGTAACTTTCATCGAAGTAGGCATCGCGCTCTACTGTTGGAAGTTCAAGACCTACACTTAGAGATTCCAAGGTCACTTCCTTCTTCTTCGTTCCTGGATAATCTAGCAGTTTTGACTTTTCTAGAGACTTTATCCTAAGGTCATGAGAAGGACTTACGAACCTGTGAACGTGCTCCTTTTCTCTGTCATCACAGTTAGAAACAGATGATAACTTACTACACGTGCTTTCGTTCAGCCTTAACGACCCAAACTTTCTCTGAAAGCACAGTAGTTGTTTCCTCTGTCTATCTTTCAAGTCTCTCATTTCTAATAATTGTCTTTCTTTTAACTCTGCTAAGGTAATCCTAGAGCTAAATTTGCTATGTCTACTTACTAAACTAACATTAGAGCCATGACATGAAAATGCATCTAATTTGACTTGCCGTATATCTGTAGGTGCATCCGATTGCATTTCTCCGTGGCCCAATGCCAGGTTTTCGTTGACCTTATTGCGCTTTCCAGGCATTCCAGAATTTGTCACTTGAGATTACTGTTCGTTTGAGAACTGTAACGACCGAACAGCCAATATTCGGTTGGAACAACGGACTGACGAACCCAAAATTTATTCGATTAGACCAGACCAAGTTCCTCTGTATAGCCCACAACGCGTCTTTGAGATACTCGTATTATATTATATCAAAACACAAACTCTGTGCTCAATATAAACGGTTCTAATTAAGAAAACAGAACAAATTACATCAAAAATACAAAATACCTCAAACGGTACAGCCTGTGCTATACAGTCAGAAGTTTCTCTAACGCAAAGTAGCGCGCTTTTTTTTTTTTTTTTTTTTTTTTTTTTTTTTTTTTTTTTTTGAGAATCAATACAAATATTCCCAATCAGATGGGATCAAATATCTATCTGCAGGGATTGCAGCAATTCTCCCAAGCAGACAGTCAGAAGGTTAACAGTCACAAACTGAACCACGCCGTGACCTTGAGCTTAGTCAAACACAACCTTACTGTCAATGGTCCGGCAACATGCAATAGAAAATTAGGTAACAAAAATAAGTCTTTAATCAAAATCACATAATAAAGGCTCAAACGGGGAAGACTGAAGAACAAAAGACATGGTTAAACGAGATCGAAACAAAGGTTGGAATACACAAAAGGGAGAAGGAACAAATAAATGAAAATACTGTTCAACAAAGAAGCTGCAGAGGGATTTTTACTGTTCTCTTTCCGTTACACCGGCCCCCAAAATCCCTCCAGCTACGCAAAGACACCTTAGAATACATTTCTGTCATGGCTCTCCTTACTAACTGCTCTATATCAATGGGAGGCACAGGACTTACAACAGTACGCCTGTACATCCATAAACCTAAGCTACAATCTACAATTACTCGGCTCCCTCTAGAAGGCAGAGCTTTCGCACATCTCTTCTTACTACACCTTTTCTCATTCGCACCATCACTGTTCTTACCAACCCATCTCTATCTGTCTCGCACTTATCAACCCGTCCCATTGGCCATGAACCCCGAGTAGTTGCATCGTTAGCCACTAGAACTACATCACCTTCTTTTAAGTTTCTGTGTTTGCAAAACCATTTCTGCCTCACTTGCAGTAAAGGAATGTACTCTTTTATCCATCGACGCCAGAAGGTATTGGCTAAACAATTAACCTGTCTCCATCGCTTTGAATACCTATCCGCAACACTACACTCCATTCCTAAACCATCACAGTCTCTTAGTAATAACAAAGTGTTTGGCGTGAGCGCCAAATCATCCTTTTCATCTGACGTCACAGGAACGATTGGGCGGTTGTTTAAAATTCGTTCTACCTCCACAAAATAAGTTGCCAAACTATCATCGTGTAATATTTGCCCGTTGGAAATAGATAGTAAGATCCTCCGAACAGACCGTATTAATCTCTCCCAAACTCCGCCTCGATGGCTAGCTAGTGGGGGGTTGAAATGCCAGCGTATACCCTTCGATACTGTTAAGTCGTTTATTCTATGCTTGTCCCACACACTCATATTAGCCCGTAATTCGGAAGTAGCCCCGACAAAGTTAGTTCCATTGTCGCTATAGATTTCCTTAGGAGTTCCTCTCCTTCCTATGAAACGTATTAAAGCCATTATAAAAGCATCAGTACTCAAATTGAAAGCTACTTCCAAATGTACGGCACGTGTTTGGAGACACGTAAATAGGCATCCATATCTTTTTTCCTCACTTCTTCCCCGACGAACTATCAACGGCCCAAAATAGTCTATCCCGACGGAGGAGAAGCAAAACCAGCCTTGCTGCACTCGACACTTGGGGAGAGGTGCCATCATCTGTTGGCCTAATGTGGCTTTCGCGCGTATACACCTCACACATCTACCTATCACTCGTTTAACTGCACTGGTTCCTTTAACAATCCAATAATTTCTTCGTATGGTAGCTAACACTTGTGATGTCCCGGTGTGACCTTCTAGGTGGTGATGGTGTCTAATAATAAGTTCTGTTACGAAGTGATGACTGGGTAAAATTACCGGATGTCTGATTGAGAGTGGATAATCCGAGTAATTTAATCGTCCGCCGACACAAAGCAATCCATCGATTAGCGTAGGTGAAAGATTTTTTAGCTCTTTTATATCAGTTGCGCTTACGCCATTGCATCGAGACACTTTTACTGCTTCCCCATACACTTCCTTTTGCACTAAGGCTAATACCTTGTGTTTAGCTGCATCCAATTCATCAACTGACAGATAGCCCACACTTAGGGACCTGTCATCGTGATGCGAGTACATGATGGTTATATAGGTCACGTATCTTCTGAGCCATGCTACCGCTTTAATCAGCTTTATCCAATTTGAGTGATATAGCAGAATTGGACTTAAGCTATGTTTTAGCGCAACTGCGTTGGTCGTGTGACATCTTTTAAATTCAACATTTTCTGGGGGGTTTTCGCACATAAGCGTTAGTGTTCCTACAGACTCCCTCTTCCTTAAGAAGGAAGGACCCTCAATCCAGTTCTTTAAATCTAGCTCCTTCCGTATGCCTCGTGATGTCCAGTCAGCAGGATTTTCATTGGATTCTACGTGCCCCCACTGGTCCACAGATGTTAAATGATGAATAGCGGCCAGACGATTAGCCACGAAGGTGGAATACCTACTATCTGTATTTTTTATATAGTACAGTACTATCATAGAATCCGTCCAGAAGTGAGTCTTGTCAAACACCTGAGGAAGGTTCCTATTTAAAACTTCCCCATTCTAGCACTCAATACTGCCGCTGCTAGTTCCAGTCTAGGCACAGTCACCTGCTTTATAGGTGCCACTCTAGACTTACTATAGAGAAAAACGATGTCCGGTGGTTTGCGTCTGAGTATGTTCCACGAATAGACAGAGGAACTGCAACCTGTCTTAGTCAGGATTTTCATCATAAAGTCGGCAAGAACTCTACCAGCAAGGTCCAATCGCAAAACAGTATAAGGCAACGCATAATCATAAATCGGAACTGTGTGGGTCACACCGTCACCTAAGTCCAATACTATACCAGTTGTACGACCAGATGTACATAGTGACAACTCCATTTGAATAGCAGCACACATACCTGGTGTATTAAAAGTTTCAAAAATGATTCTTGTCATCTCACGGTTTGCCTTCGGGTTCAATGAAACTTCTCTCAACAACACTGGATGTTTCTCTGTTGCCACTCGCAACCCTTTGTAGAATGTGTGGTACCATATCTTCTCCATATCACCCCACTTAGTCGCAATACCATGTTCAATTTGGTACTTCAGTGTCAGGATAACACGTTTCGATCGAGCATCGTCTCCCACATGACTGTCCTTTCCATCCCTCCCTACCATTACTACTTGATGTCTAGTTCTTCCATCAATAGAGGGTAATACGGCTCTGGGAGCATCATTTTTGGTGAAGCCAGCTTTACACATACCAGACTCAATGCCAATAACAGGGGCAACAATATCTTCCTCAGCCACTCCTCTAGGTAAAGGAACAATTTGTAACTTTCATCGAAGTAGGCATCGCGCTCTACTGTTGGAAGTTCAAGACCTACACTTAGAGATTCCAAGGTCACTTCCTTCTTCTTCGTTCCTGGATAATCTAGCAGTTTTGACTTTTCTAGAGACTTTATCCTAAGGTCATGAGAAGGACTTACGAACCTGTGAACGTGCTCCTTTTCTCTGTCATCACAGTTAGAAACAGAAGATAACTTACTACACGTGCTTTCGTTCAGCCTTAACGACCCAAACTCTCTCTGAAAGCACAGTAGTTGTTTCCTCTGTCTATCTTTCAAGTCTCTCATTTCTAATAATTGTCTTTCTTTTAACTCTGCTAAGGTAATCCTAGAGCTAACTTTGCTATGTCTACTTACTAAACTAACATTAGAGCCATGACATGAAAATGCATCTAATTTGACTTGCCGTATATCTGTAGGTGCATCCGATTGCATTTCTCCGTGGCCCAATGCCAAGTTTTCGTTGACCTTATTGCGCTTTCCAGGCATTCCAGAATTTGTCACTTGAGATTACTGTTCGTTTGAGAACTGTAACGACCGAACAGCCAATATTCGGTTGGAACAACGGACTGACGAACCCAAAATTTATTCGATTAGACCAGACCAAGTTCCTCTGTATAGCCCACAACGCGTCTTTGAGATACTCGTATTATATTATATCAAAACACAAACTCTGTGCTCAATATAAACGGTTCTAATTAAGAAAACAGAACAAATTACATCAAAAATACAAAATACCTCAAACGGTACAGCCTGTGCTATACAGTCAGAAGTTTCTCTAACGCAAAGTAGCGCGCTGAGAATCAATACAAATATTCCCAATCAGATGGGATCAAATATCTATCTGCAGGGATTGCAGCAATTCTCCCAAGCAGACAGTCAGAAGGTTAACAGTCACAAACTGAACCACGCCGCGACCTTGAGCTTAGTCAAACACGACTTTACTGTCAATGGTCCGGCAACATGCAATAGAAAATTAGGTAAGAAAAATAAGTCTTTAATCAAAATCACATAATAAAGGCTCAAGCGGGGAAGGCTGAAGAACAAAAGACATGGTTAAACGAGATCGAAACAGGTTGGAATACACAAAAGGGAGAAGGAACAAATAAATGAAAATACTGTTCAACAAAGAAGCTGCAGAGGGATTTTCACTGTTCTCTTTCCGTTACAATATCTTTAAGTCTGTGGAGAACATTTTCTTGCCACCAAGAATGGTTTGGGGATCGTTTTACTCCGATTTTTTACAATTTGAAAACCCTTAAGAACGAAATTTCTTTCACCGTTTTGGCGGCGCTCGTTTATTTCCACTTCTCCAGATCGTCTCTTAATACGAATGTAGAGGTAAATAAATCCCCAAAATAAATAGCTCTGTAAGTTTTCGACATTGGATGCTGACTGCATTAGTCTTAATGGACTCACCTAGCTCCCGGTCATGCATCCGCGCCAGATCACGAGTGAGAGGGCCGTGCTCAAAATCCTCTGCATTTGCTAGCCAGATTAG